GCGCTGGCCCGGTGGGTCACTCGGAACAGAACGCACGTGGGATCGCCTGGCCATGGATGTCACCCACGTGCACGGCCACCCATACCTGACGCTGGTGGACTGCGGGCCGTCGAGGTACGCCATATGGCGACGGCTTCGCCGGGCAGGAGCTCTGGAGATTGTGAGTGAGCTGGAGAACGTGTGTCTAGAGCGTGGAGCCCCGGCGGAAATACTCACGGACAATGCGACAGAGTTCCGTGGCCGGGTCATGTTAGCGTTCGCGGCTCGCTGGGACGTATCCATCCGGTTCCGCGCTGCCTACGAGCCCGGCGGGAACGGCATCGTCGAGCGCCATCATCGTACCATCAAAGTGATGGTGGCCCGGCAGTCCTGCTCCGTTGCTGAAGCAGTCCATCGATACAACGTGACACCGAAGGATGGCAGTGACCCGGCCACAGCTCCAATCAACGGGGTGCTTCGACACCCTGGCCGAGACGTTGACGTGACGCCCCGCAGAACCTCAGACGAGCCTGGTGACGCCCTGCCGCTGAAGAAACCCGGTGTATACCAGGTAGGGGACAAGGTGTGGGTTCGGCGGCGGGGCGACCGATGTTTTGTAAAGTCAGACGAGGGTATTGTGACAGGCGTCGTTTCGGCCCAGACAATCGAAGTCGATAATGTCCCACGACATGTGCGAAACCTCCGACATCGGTTGACCGTCCCTGAATGTCCGAGGCCAGGGGCTCTGCGAGCGCCAACGGTGGAGTGGTCTGATGACAGCGAGTGTGATGGCGTGTGTGTGTCGCCAGCTCCGAGTGATGTGACGGAGTCGGACACGCGGCCGCCCAGCGTCGCTCAGTCCCCGGACCCCGATCCACCGACCGGGTCCGATGTGTCCGCAGACGAGAGTGAAACGTTCGTGCCTGCGACGCTGCGGCGTGGTACGCGTGTTCGAAGAGAGCCGGAAAGATATGGCGATGGTGTGCCAGAGGATGTAGTTGATGCGTTGATTGAATGACATGTAACATGTAGAGTAATGTGGTTCTTCAGAACCAGGGGGTGATGTAGCGTGACGCAAGGATGAATGTGAGCCGTATAAGTGTGAGTCAGCTTCAGCGTCGAGCTGTGAACCGGTGACCCAGCGTTGGTCATAGCCGCCGGCATCTGATGCCGGCAGGGCCGAGTTACACCCTGCAAGTAGCTGGGCCGGGCATGACGTATGGGAGCATGATTGGCTGGTTATGATGTGAGATATATGACGTATGACAGCGCGATTGGTTGGTGATGATGTGAGATGTGTGTCTGCGAGCTGTGGATGTGCCAGGAGGGGGATTGTGAGTTTAGTTGGCTGGAAGGTGTAGAGGAGAGCAGAATAGATCTTCTTCTTGTGCTGGACGGTGACTTTTAAGTCAGTACGACAGAACGTGTCGGGCAATCAGTGCGACAAGACAAGACAGCAGGCGGCGGCGCCGGTACGTGTCGCGAAATCAGAGCGGACGCACCCCGCTGTACGACCCACCGCAGCACGGCCGGCCAAGGGTGGCACAGCAGACAGCCACGGCCCAACACCGCACGACCCACAGCCCGGCCGCCAGCCGCTCCGTTCCTGCCCATGGCCCTCCGTACCGTGTCCACCCGCTGTGACCGTGCCCGCTCGATATCCAGCCCGGGGCGGCGCTGTTGTGTACACCGCGGCCCCCGTCCGCCCGAGCCGGCCTCCGCGCCCTGCGGGGTCACACCCGACCCGCCGCCGCCGACTGCCAATCCTCACTGTAACGGTGCGGCCGGCCAAACGGCGTGCCGACATCCAATGATGAAACCCGGCGGCGGCGAGGTTCCGGCCAGACGCTGCTGATAGGTCTGCGCGCACTGAGATACAGCGTGTTTCGCGCCCCATGTGGCGCGGGCCGTTTCCTGGCAGCCGCGAAGTGTTGAACTATAAGGCTGTTTTTAGTCATCCTGAACACCCGTTTTTGGTCTAAGCCAGCCTTAAGTTTGAGAAGTTATCTGCTTTATGAAGGGAATCAAATCAGTATCAAAATAGAAAAGCTTAAGGAACACTATGACGCTATGCTTATATTCCTTGATTTTACTTCTCGCACAGCTTGATTAGACAGCGTTTTATGTAATAAAAGAATTGCGACTTGCAAACCGCTCCAAGGCTCATACACGCCAGTAGCGCTAGTTCCACGGCAGTCCCTGCCGCAGGGAAACAAACGTCCGTTCAACACGAACACCTCTTCCAAACTGAGCCAGCAGACTGGATATAAAACGAACAAATTACCGACTGCCCTGGCTGAACGACTCGGCTGAAAGTCCCGTCACCTGACAGCCACTCCTGTAGACCAAGACGCATAGCCCCGCACCGCACGCTAAGTGCCTGCGGGCATGACCGAAACTTGCCAGGAATTTTCAGATTGTCCTTTCACCTGACGACTCGACATAAAAGCGAAACGCGGTACACCGGTATGGCATCATATGTCGGAAACCTGAGGCGGCACTGTCCCGTGTTTGGGTTGGCTTTCATACCCATGCTCGTGAGCGTAAGATCCCAGTCATCATATCTAGCCCTGCACACTGGGTCACACTGGCGGCACAGGACCGCCCAACACAGGGCGAGGCGACCTCAGGATACCTGAACTGACCCCGAGTCTCCAACACGCCTGAGGCCGTCCGCCCACATCACGGAGAGGCGCCGTGCGCGTCCGTCCGTGTCGACCGTTCTCCGACTCTCGCTGGGCGTGCTAAGATGACCGATGGTGACAGCGGCGACCCTCCCCCTCCTGGGGCGACACCGGCAGTCTGAACCGACACACGATCTCGACACAAGACCCCGAGCGAGCGGGCGTGGGCCGCGACCGGCGCGCGATGACCTTGTCTTCGCCGGGCGGCCGGTCAAATATTTCACATTCACAGACACGTGGAGGGAGGGACAGCACGGTCAGACGGGGTCAGATCGTGTCTAATTAGCTGGTCGGACGCGGGCGGGACGTGACCGGCGGCCACCTCACCGCCATTCACTCCCCGGAGAGCAGACATCCAGCAGACCAGCCGCAGTGAAATAAACAACGCCAATCGGTCGCGCACAATGGCCGACCGAAGTGCCAACTATAAATAACGGGCGGCCTGTCTGATCGGCGGTCTCCACGCGGCACTGGCCGGCCGGCTCCGACTGCCTGGTGCGTGGGAATCGAGCCGGTGGTGCTCCAATGTGCCGTGAACTCGACGAGGGCTCACGTGGCGAGCACGCGGCACGGCGCTGGCCGTAGATTATCGAACATCGCCACAGCGAAAAGCAGCCGCAAATACAGCAAGCCGCAGCTCAGGTCATGCTACATTCACACAGGAGCGTCTGTCCAACGAGCGGCGCCCCGGCCTCGGTTCGTCCGCCCGGCTCGCCCACACACCGGCCTTCTTCGTTATGGCCTTGTCCTTCAGCGGCCCTCCTACCTGACATTCGCTAACGACGCCGAGATGGAGACACTTCCCCGGATTGGCGGCAAAAAAGGAAACGAAGGGCGGCCGCAGACACCGCCAACCGACCTGCTCAACAACGCTGCTGTGGCGACAGTCAGCTGTTTCCCAGAAACAGAGTTTTCGTAATTATAGCGAGAAGTTTTCTCACTCAGAGTTTCATATGAAAAGCCATTCTGCTCGCCTTCCAGCTCTTATGAATATAGAACAATACAGTAAAGCGTAGGGCTACCACACCGAGAGCGACGGGAAACTATAGCATGGCAGTAACAGTTGCGCTTTTTAATGCAACTGGAGTTGTCGGTGAACTGCGATCAATTAGGTACCCCAAATACCTGAGTCAAATAAATAGGCATTAAAATCGGATTAGCGACCAATGCTTAACCTAAATCCATTTGTGAAGCGATTTATTCGTCCATATATCTGCGGTGAATGCTCCAAACACAAACAAACATTAAATAAATGTCAAGAAAGGATATGTAAGCCCGTCATTAGTCTAATGCTTGGTAATGACAAACAAACGGAGCATCGCTGCAAAACAAAGCTCCATTTTTGGCCTGTATCTAGGCTGGGTGTCTTTTATATCCCACCTTCAGGCTGCCCCGATGTGCAAGGCTGATCAAACCACCAACTCAACATGAATATGACCGGATAGCCTCCTGCAACCAAACTTTAATGCATATGCGACATAAAACGTTTCGATATTTCAGCATGACCGCCGGAAACTGATATAATCAATGAATTGATCGAACATGTTTCAAAGATTAAGTATGAAATGCACACAGGAGTGAGATAGCTGCAGCTCGAAAAGTAGGTATACAAATAAGTTTTTTGGGATCGGATATCCGATCAATCCAGTGACTCCATTCAGAAGTTCCTCCGAGGGAAAGCACCCTCAATATTATGACGTCCCACCGTGGTAAGACCCCTTACAAATCAACAAGCCGGATTCATTTCACACCTGAATTATCAACGGTAGCAAAGAAGCACTCTCAAACTCAACGGTCGCCCACTCAGCACGTCACGCGTATGATCTGTTAAGCCCGAGGTAAACCACCATCTACGTCATAAGTCACCTTGCAAATAAATACCGACCACAAGAAGTCGCTTCAAACGCAGCCAGGGGAAGAACTGTCCCACTCCACGTTCCGGCTCAGTGCGGTTCAGTGATTCTCTGACGCACACACCTCCTACCTGCATTATTCCCACATCCGCCGGCGATGGATATTGAACATCAAACTAACACTCACGCACACAGGCCATCACCGGGAGCGAGAGAGGGGGAGAGAGTGACATCTAGAAGAGGCGAGAGGAGGCAAGAGGAGAGAGAGAGGAGAGAGAGATAGGAGAGAGAGAGAGAGAGAGAGAGAGAGAGAGAGAGAGAGAGAGAGAGAGAGAGAGAGAGAGAGAGAGAGAGAGAGAGAGAGAGAGAGAGAGAGAGAGAGAGAGAGAGAGAGAGAGAGAGAGAGAGAGAGAGAGAGAGAGAGAGAGAGAGAGAGAGAGAGAGAGAGAGAGAGAGAGGAGAGAGAGGGACACTCGGTACTTACCAGACGCGCCCGGGTCGGTCTCGGCAATCGCCTGGTCCGGTGAGTCGTCCCTCGTCCTCTTGGACCGGTCGCCTGGAACACGACGCCAGCAGTCAGGTCAGCGGGTCATAGTTCAGAAGGTCACATGTAGGTCATAGCTAGATGTTACAAGGTTATGAGGTCACCGGGTCGCATGGTCAATGGTCATAGTTCAGAGGGTCACGGGTTACGAGGTTGCAAAGCATGAAGTCATTTGCGGTAGACAGTCACAGGGTCATGCGTCAACTTACAGGATCACAGGTCACAGATTGATAATAGGTATCGATTCACACTTGTCAAGCCGGTGCTAAGATGTGGTTCGATCGAAAATTGACAAACTATCTAACAAGAGTTATCGTCTTCCCCTTCATACACACAAACGGTCAAAGCTATGGTAACTGTCGCATAAAACCTAACAAAGACTACATCGCTGCGACCTAACCCCAGTAATATCCCCACAGGCACATCAATCGCAACAACTAGCAAATAAACAAGCAACCGCACAAGCAAGCAGAACAGTGAACAAGCGGGCTGACGACAGGTCCTAGCTCTTGTCAGCCTGACTCACGCCATGTAGACCGTTCGCATTTACCATTCGTACTGCACACACTCACTCGTTCACAGCTAACATAGTGAATCAATCAAGGGACCGAAGGCAGAGTGATTGCGGCTCATGGCGAAATAAAACTAAGCGAGCACACCGGTGAATTTACAGGCAAGCAGTTATTGAGATGTTGACACCAAAGCTCAATGAATATGAATATCCTTTGTGTGACAGCGTGTCAAAAAAAAAAAAAAAAAACGGCGGTGCTAAGCTTATTCGTGAACAACCAAACACACCAAAAGCACGTCCTAATTTGCATCAAAATAACCGAAACAAAATTTTGAGACTGATGTAAAAGTGCAATGCTCTGTGCGACACATCTCGGGCCGTGTGATTTTGTACACACAGTGACCAGCGCTCTGTCTGATACACTGCCAGTTACACTAAAGGACGGCAGCCGCTGGCATAGTGCTGTGCTTAAGTGACAGTGACGTCACGATGACGTCATCGACCACACCGCCGCCGTTCGGCCGGCTTACCGGAGCCTGCTCCGTGGACGGGCGCCACGGGAGGATAGATGATGAATACTCCGTCTGGGCCGCGGCGGGGCGAGAGGCGACCCGGTCAGACTGAACACACCCGAGCGTCCACTCTACTGTCCACCAAAGGCTAACGCACCGTCCCATCGTGACACAAACACCGCACTTCGGTCACACAAACACCACCCATCGCCCCACTGCCACACAAAACTGCCCCACCATTACAAACCAACTATGGCCATCAACCCCGCAGTCGTAATCAAAAACCACTCATTAAACTATTCAGCATGCATCAGCCCCTAAAGGCCGCGTCCCCCAGGTTGCATGGAAACTGAAACTAGGAATACATGACTCAACCCTTTTCCTTTTCTTAGCAACCGTCAGTCAAGAGAAGTGCCTCGGTCGTACGGCCCACCATCGAGAGAAACCCCAACCCATCGGTGCCGAAGCCTCCAAAGGGCTGCAGTAGACGGTCATTTGTGAGGCAAATGACTGCAACGACATTGACCAATAGCCAGCCGCCGAGCGGCGCTCAATAACTGCACGGATTTATAGTTACATCACTGTACGACTGATATTCATCGGCCAATGCGTATATCAGTGGACACATCACTGTCAATTTGTATCAGTTTCTCCGAAAGTCACCGAGATACTGGCTGTCTGTCTCCGAGAGTCTGTCTGTCTCGCTGTATCCCGACCCATCCATCCCCTTGCCCCAGTCGTCTTCGTCCCGCCTGTTTCCCTGCGCCCCGACCTATCCGTGTCCTCCTCTGGCCGCGTCATCCCAGATTCAGCCGGCACACACGCCGCGCTGTCAGTCGGTCGATTGCGAAGGTGCCTCGTTCGCAGAAGACGACCGGTGTCAACCATCGATCCCTCGGGACTGGAGACCCTAAGGACGCGCCTCTGGCATACACAGACAGCGGAGGGTCGGCAGTATGGGGCGGAGTCTAAGCCAGCGGCAACAGTTCCAAGACGAGTGAATTAATTAGGTCCCGGCAGGATACATTACATCAACGGAGGGAGGCAGTGCAGTGTGGTCTCACGTTGCTGAGTCCCTTTGGCTGTAAAGGTCATTATCAATCTAGAAACGAGATCTACAAGGTTGGAAAGTCGAAATCGCTAGTCTAAGAGCAGATTTATGGCACATATCTGCGGCATTTGAGGTTCCACAAAAGAGCAAAGGCATAAAGTATTGCATCTAGACACCTAAGACCAGGCCACGACACATTTAGTCGAAGAGCGGCTAGAAGCGAACTAAAATCTTACTATACTCCTCATAGAAAAAAAAAATAACTACGAAAAACGAGTTACCAAATCATTCATTCACCTACTAATACTAATCTATGTAGTGACACTAGAAACAATTGTCTGGGACCAGCACCTCTGTTCCAGACAGCGTCGTTCTACTCACTCTGACCTAGGTTGAAGCTGTTGCCCGTCTTCTTCCTCTGTTCGGGCATGATTTTGGCCATGAGGTTGCTGATCTTGTCGCCGCCGCGGCGCGGGATGGCGCCCACACACTGTTCCTCCACAGTCCGCAGGCACGCCTTGTGGATGTTCATCTCACAGTCTGTGGTTAGAACACATCGTCATATAACGTACACCCACCCACAATGCGGCTCATACACAGTACACACTGTAATAAGCTCATACACATAGCACACTGTAATACAGCGGTCAAGGACACGGGGAGGGAAAACGACCCGCTCCCGGCGGACGATTAGGCTCGACCATTTAGCGTCGACAGTGCCCCACGGCGGGTATAATCCCGGCCCAGATTACACACACGCCGATTTAATCCCCGTCCAATTACCCACGGACCAGGTCTTCCAGAGGTCGAGCCAGTTCATGAACCCAGCGCAGGGCCGGTGCGATGTCAGAGCGGGCAGTCACACGTCCTCTACTATCGTCTCACTGGCGTGAGAGTAGCCAATCTGGTTAGCTCGTGCAGCTAGTAACAGTATTCTCACGGTGAGAAAATTCATGACAACGCTGCCACGCCCGAGATCCTTCTGCACATCGCCAGATGTCCTTCCACTCTAGCGATGCAACTGACGGGTCGCATGTGAAGTATAGGAAGTGAGAGCACTGGGCTGCCTAACCTCTCCCCCACCACGGGCATCAGCGTTCATAAGACCCTGTCTGGAGCTTGATAATTTTTGTAATACAGTGAGATACATTTTGATCATGGACTTGACTGCATTTCCGACCCGTTATCCATAGCCACCTGGAACCTCTTTCACCAATCCGCAGTTCCGGTAGGCAGATGTAACCCAGCTGATCTCTGCCCCACTGACACACTAACCTTCACACTGATTGTCAGCATTGCCTATCGACCATCTATACACACGCCCACCGACATAACATTCCGCGCCGCCACATCATCATGCCCCAATCACCGTGAATCCAACGCATTCTTCTTTGTTAACACAGGGTGGGTCTATCGCCGAACTATAAAGACAAACGGTCCATGAGCCGCCGCCCGGTTCGTCCCACGCTGTCTGGCAGGGTCAAGGGCACCCGTGTCTGGTACGGAATGACTGGTTTAGGATGGGAGAAGTCATAGGAGCTGCATACTTTAAAGCTGCAGACACAGAGTTGTTCACCGGTTGGCAACCAGCTTCCACGTCCTGGTTCAACCAAGGCACGCTTCACGCCAGCAAGTCGCGGTTCCGTGTAACGATGAGAAATGGCTACGAGTTCTAGGCGTGACCTATGTACACAGACATTCCCAGTGGAGTTGAGGAAGGGCCCACCTCGCAACACCGGGTAAGCCGGCCGGCCGGTCGGTCGCTAGCCACCTAATCGTGACACAGCGGCCCAGCCACGGCTAAATGCGTCCTCAGCAGCTCTAGCCGGGCTGGCCGGCCGGCTATAACCCCAGATACAGCGGACCACGAGAGGAAACGAGCACAGAATAACCTCCAATTGGGCCCGAGATATCCCAGCTAGGTGCTCTACGGGCATACGATCAATATCAGAGGACTTCCTCTAGTAACGAGCTGATCAGCAGCAGAATAAATCACGGCCGATCTTCAACATACAGATGGCAGCTAAGCCCCCTAGCCTGCAGTTATTATTCCTCAGGTCCGACGCATGATCCGCCCAGTGGAGGACAAACAGACGACCCTGAGTCTTTAGAGCCCAGTGGTGCCCACATACGCTGGGAAAGGTGAAAGGACGGGTAAGCGATCAGCCGTACCGTAAATTGACCCAGCCGCCAGCCAGAGAACACAAAGCACAGCGGACGAACCGAACACACAACAATAACATGACTCTCGGGAAATTATACCTAGTACCTACCCATCAACGTATGACACAACCTGCCAATGCGTATCATTACTACTCTTAACCCAATAGCTACGTTACCTGTCACATGACAAAAAGTATATCAAAACATCGGGTGGCAACATTCGACCTTCACTTTGTCCCATGCACTTTGCACAACCCCAGACCCAGCCGTGCCGACTAGCAGACTGTACCTACTCGCTGGCGCAGTGGTATGCCCGCTGACTATACCACGGGAAGGGCACTCAAGGGCGCTATGGTAGGGGGTCGATGCCTCGGATAGGGTACTCATGGGCGCTCAGGTAGGTGGTTGCTGTTGCGGATAGGGTACTTACGTGCGCACTGATAGCCCTGCGGGCTGATTCCGCGGATCGAGTCCTGGCAGGCGTTACAGGCGGTGACGATGTAGTACTGGTGCAGCTGGAACTGGTGACCACGCACCACCGGCGGCTACAGAAAGACAGAATATGGGGAGAGTTCGTCAGCTGCAGCAAGAGTATGACGCACAATGGGGTGTTACTAACACCCGCGTGTTACAGATAACTGGCAACAATGAGACCGGCAAAGGGTATGTTTGGGATATACCATATATTATTCGGCAGTATATAAATTAATTGGACATCAAAGTAGCACGTAGATCCGCACCCTACCGCTCATATGCACTACAATCGGCTCTTATGTAATTGACATACCGTACGTGGGACATGAGGATACAGACTCCATGTCTCAAAAGAAAACTACATTAGTGACATGATATTGATTAGCCTCGAGTTTGGTTCGGCAAGCACGTAAGCAAGAGTATCGCGTGGGATGAAGCTTCCACGACGGCCCCTCTGGCGTGGGCCGTCTCAAAATACCATCAGTAAATGGACGTCACTTCACGAGCGACTGACATCCTAGTAAATGCCACCACCCACAACCGAAGGCAATCTCAGTCAAACGAGGCATTTCGGAACACATATCAGTGACAAGAGAATTAGGGAATACCGGAGTATCACGCCGACTCATACAATTTGTTTTGTTTGGTAAATGTCACGGTATCAATACTCCATACTCCCACGCGTCTCAGGACATATAAGCGCATATTAGATAATATATTTGCCATCATCTTACTCGTAAACGCATCATAAGTGTAGCAGGCCGGAAACGTTAACCACATAAATATGCGCTGACCTGGGGCTGGGACATGGAATGACATTCACGAATATACAGATATAGCCGTCTTTACGACCTGATGCAATACAGAATCGCTGCCAAAAGCGGCTTTCCAGGCCGATAACCTCCGATAATCCTAGCAAATCATCCCATAACTGCGATTCGACGTACCTTTTTATGCCTGTTGAGCAGTTTGGACTTGAAGGAGCGCTCCTTGGAGACGAACAGGGGGCAGCTCTCGACGATCTGCTGCAGGCTCGGGCTGCGGTAGTTGAAGTACTTGTAGAGGATGGTGGCCAAGCTGGACGCCTGGGTCTGCGTCTGCTCCGAGGCGTTCTCCAGCTCAGAGCTGTCGGACCGTTCATGCAGAGGTCAGCACCAGTAAAGCCAAAAGGATAGACTGACTGATGGACAGAGGCAGAACTTACCTATCCAGCGACAAAGAAAACACCAGAACCATATCATCTAAAAGATGGCCGAAACGCATAATAATAAGCGCAATCATTACCTACACACTACAAAGGCCAGGCTTTTAACAGCAGGGTTGTGCTCGACTCAAAAAAATTTGCCGACTCGACTCATCATTCAACTTCAGAATGTCCTGACTCAACTCTGACTCAAACAAGGAGCTGATTTTTTCCCTTGACTCGACTCATGACTCAAGCGGTTCAATGAAAATATGAGTTGACTCAAACTTGACTCAAAATTTTTGTTGAGTCAAGTGTGTTGACTCAAAATTGACTCAGATAAAAAATTGTTGAGCGGGGGGGGGGGGGGGGTGAAAAAAATCCGGCAGCAGGGCCAGGCCTAAGTTGTTAAGCGGGGGGAGAATGAAAAACTTATACTATATATTGTTTCTAGAAAGTCGAGTCAGCTGACTCATGTTCCCAAATGTTTTTGACTCAACTCAATGTCAAAAAATATTTTACTGACTCAACTCTGACTCAACTCAACACCTTAATATTTTTGTCCGACTCAACTCTGACTCAACTCAACAGCTCAACATTTTATCCGATTCGACTCAAATCTGACTCATTTAAGTCAGAGTTGAGTCAAATTTCTGACTCGACTCATGAGTCAAGCACAACCCTGTTTAACAGCGATTCACACAGGTCAATGCTACATAATCCTCTACTACTCCACGCACAGATCCACTAACTGGTGGAATATCTATGGACATTTTTGAATTCATCAAACCTCAATCTTTCCCATATTCTCTCCCATTTACCGACAACTGGTGGACAGTCTCCATGTACCAGCACTTCACCCTGTCTCCCGGCACTCACGAATGGAGTACTGTCTCGAGTTAAGCCCATCCCAGATAACCTTCTCTTCCTTTACTCACGACTGGTGCACGGTCTCCAGCAGTTTGAACAGCACGTCCTCGATATACTCACGACTGGTGGACGGTCTCCAATTTACCCCTTCCCCGTTAAACCTCTCTCCCTATACTCACGACTGGTGGACGGTCTCCAGCAGTTTGACCAGCACGTCCTCGATGATGCGGCCCTCGCGCGCCTTGTCGTGCCGCGCCTCCTCCAGCTCAGAGTCCTTGGGGCCGAACATGGCCCCCAGGCCGGCCGTCCGCTTCCCGCGGAAATCGGCCAGCTGGTCGTTGATGTCCTCTCGCGCTCGCGCCCGTGCCCGCTGGAATATCTGGAATGAAACGGAGGAGTAAGTGAGCATAAGCAGCCGAAACCGATGCATATCAGAAAGAAAATACTGATTGCTAGGTACCAACCAGCCGTGAATAATTCCAACCAAAAGCAAATAAACACAAAAATAGCTGATGTTTGAAAGTGTACACGCAGCATGAGCATCCGTTACCACTGATAGCCGAATACTGCAGCTCTCCAGTGGCTATGGTCTGATACCCGGTCGGTGTGAGACTACTACTCGATGTGAACACTCACCGTGCGCAGTTTCTCCTCCTTGTCCAAGTCACGGAGGAGGATCTCGTCTATCTTCAGTAGGGAACCCTCCTCAATGCCATTAACCCGCATCACCTGAAAACACACAGACGATCACAGTCAGTCTCTCATGGTCCTACAAAGAAGCACAACAAAACAAATGGTTGGAGGACTAGCCAAGCAGCCAAAATGTCTTACTGAGCCCACCACTGAAACGGAAATACCTCAGCGTTCTGGTCAAAACGGGCCGACTCCGAATTTTCTACACTGCTGAGCAGTTTCATGGCACGTTTCAAATGATTCACACCTTTCCTTGCCCAACATCAAGGAAGTTATGCAAATAACCGTCTGACTACATCACAGCCAGGCAAAACAGCAAACACATGATCACGAATATCCCCACTCCGTCTTCCACTAGTCACCTTTACCGACGGACTTTTCAACACACATGCCCGCACGTCTCACACCCCTCACATCCACGTCCCAGCGCGCCGTCACGTCCTTCCATGAACGTCCCACATTCCTAGCTGACGTCCCTGTGAGGCCGTCCGCCCGCCAACGGCGCGTGACAGTACACTCGCGGATGGTCCGCGTCCTTTTATGGTCCTGTCCGCCACCCGGCCGTCCACACACGGCGGCGGGTGAGGGTGATCGAATGTGACAGGATGCTTGGCAACTCATGGCAGAATTTTAGTTGGCTACAGCTAGCAGAAGGCATGCATTTACTTGCATGCTTTCAGCACGTGGCTTGGTTGGTTCGATGTGAAGAAACTAGTGCGCTGAACACTTGGAATGTTAGATCTTACACATCACCAGTGATCGCTAACGTATCTCCAGAACAAATCGCTATTCAATGATCTACGAGCGATCTACAGAATACCATGAAACGGCTAGAGATGTGCGTTTACACATATCCGGCTTCTTAGTAATAAAATGACAGGCATCACTAACCCTCATCCCACGCACCTACGAGCTACTGTGAAATACTCATCATTCAGCAACTGCAGCATCCCCCGGTACTTACAGCATCAGGCACCAAGAAAGTGGAGTGAATCTCATACGCCCAGCGGCGCATATCCTTCGCATTGCCCTCTTTGTACAAATCACTGATTAAGTAGAAAAACTGAAACACACAAAAGGAGCAAACAGCGTTATCGTCACGTACTGACGCGTCGGCACGTGCCGACACGGCAGAGGGGCTGCTCCTCTGCCGAGAGTCAGACACAAAACCAGTCGCGGAGTCGTGCCGACACATGTGAAGAGGCTCAGGAGCAGCGGTGGAGACAGTGGAATATAGGAGCACACAGGACCCAGTAGTGGGGAGACAAAACACAACCCCAAACCAGGACAAACGGCGTCAACATAACCACCATTGCATAACAGCTGGTTTTATGGGATAAATAGCATCGACAGCACATTTCAAAACATAAGATTGCTGTTTGCCCATATCTCTAAATGATACTGCAGTCATCCGTTTTAGAGTCATAACTTGCTATAGGTATCAGCTCAAAGCACACACTATTTCTCTTCAAATGCAATTCATAACGACTCTGACCCTTGTCGCCTCTCACCCCATCAAACCCACCCCAGACGAGCCAGCCGATGAGCTACTCACCAGGCTCGAGGGATCGCAGTTGGATATCACATAATTCATAAAGACAGCTAGGTGAGCGTGATCGTGCAGCAGGTTATTCAGACTGTTGAAAGGCCCGTGGTCCTCCTGACCCTGAAAACAGACCGCCAGTGACGTCACAGAACGGCAGCCATACGTCACTGGAGGACAACGCGGACACGGTGACATAGGTAAACGGTCAACGTCGCAGGGCAGCTCCAGAGAAAGGCAGTGGGCTCATCAGTATGCTTCAAGTAGATCAATCTACATCTGATAAAGGAGCGCGACCTTCCTACCCGACTAAACGCGTGGACACCGGTCACATTATCGGACATTAGCTCACATTTGGCCTGGACATAGCCGACACACACGTCAATCAAGTATTTCACCATATTCCCACAGCGGGTATCCACGCTTTCGTTTACAATAATGCAATGTCCCTTGCTCTACCCAAGGTCCCACCAGCCCAAAGTCACCTCAAGTTGAAGGTTTCACTGTCGTTACCCTGATCAGGCACCCCGTCCCGATACTCACACACTCCTGTTCGGAGAGGTCGTCGTCCTCTATGGACATGATGTGTGGCTGGTTCACCCGCTGCACCATGCCGGGACTGGAGCCAGACGTGTCGGTCGCGGACACCTGGCGGACAGTTGCACAGTTAGAGTTATACCATCGCCGCTAGGTGGCAGTGTGGTCGGTCAGACGGCTCCGCTGGGCTGGCCGCCTGCAGCCGGCGATAGACAGAACAACAGCGTGCCAACAGCTCAATCGGCGCGTGTTTTCTGCTGAGTGGACAGCTGTGAGCGGCCGACGCGACACGCACGCGCAGATCAGAGAGAGTGGCGGACCGAGCGAGTCACCGAGCAGAGGTCGGAGGTGGCGAGGAGTCAACAGTCAGCGAACAGCGCCCACACATACACACATCACCCAGCGCGCTCAGCCCGGCCGAGGACAAAGACGGCGGCGACGGCGGGCGACATTTCCGCGCTCCAGTTTCCCTGATGTGCCGGCCGATACGGGGCGAGCACCATGTGAAACCCGCGCACCGGGCCGGTCGGCCGGTCCGCCGCCCCGCCGCCCGGGGTCCGCCCCCGCCCCCGCCACCGCCGGCGGCCTGGGCGGGCCGTGCACCGGCCGCACTTCGCGTGACGCCGCCGGAAAAATGGCACCGCGTGGGCCGGCGTGGGCTCACCGGTCAGATGGTGTACTCGATGATTGCAATGAAATCGGCGCACCTTACACAACACAATCGATTTCGTACTGAGGCAGCCTCGCTGCTCAGTCACTTCCAAAAAACACGAGCTCATTATCCTAACGAATGTCAACGTCCCATTTCACAACTTCGCATGCCAGGACGTCACAAAACTTCGCCAGACTTTTCATCGACCACGCTGCCTTTTTAACAATCCAAGCCAACAGTCCAGCTATAGACACGGGGCATACTTCGTCGGCATGCTAGTTAGCCGTATGATTTAGGACTGAAGCCCAGCACGGCTGTAAAGATTGGGAGCATCCAGGGCCCACAGACTGCATGGCACCGGCACTGACCTGGGGGACGGAACTGGCCGGGGAGGGGACGAGAGGCGTGGGTGAGTCTGCGGTCTGCAGAGCCGGATGGATGACGTGGAGCGCTGTGACAGCGAAAGAGGGAGAGACACCCGACGTCTGTCTGTGGTGTGACCACCAAGATAGACACTCCGGCCAGAGGGACCCCCGTGCAGGGGTTTGTCGGTGTCTTGCTGGACCGACCCGACAGGGGCGTGGCTCGGTCCCATCCGGCCGCCCCCTGGAGGTCGGTGGGCGGGGCGTGACTCCGGCGCCGGCACCGCCCCATTGTTCGTCGCGCCGACATCCTCCGTCGACTCGAAGCGGGACACGACAGAGGTGCGTGGGCACGTCGGAACTCGGAGAAAAACCGGCACCGATTCTACCCACGGCACATAGTGGACTGACGGATAACAGTAGCGGGCGGGAGGCGGTCGGGAGTCATGAGCTTAGCGACGATCTGGACAGGACCGGCGAGGCAGCTGATCCTAGGGATCATCCCAGGGTCTCGCTGAAGAAACCCAATGTCGCCACACAAGGGTGTCACGCAGCAACGGGCATGACCGGCTACACAAGTCGACTTAGACGGATGAGCTATTGCGGAACTGGATACATGGCAACAGTCCCGTCTACAGAGCAGCCTTACCATTTCCACAACTGGTCAATTGTAGCCTTTCAAAAGTGGTGCCTGCCGTGACCTTCACGTGAGTAACGAATAGAATAGGTGTTCGAAAAGACGTCAGTACCGTGGAACAACTGAAAAGGACACAGCAAACAGCACCAAACGCAGAACAGTGCAGGAGCAAGTGGGAGGCGTTGTGAAATACCACCGGCGACATTGACATCAGCAGATGATGCAATCGACAACTTAGCCGAAAGAACAGAAATACAGCGAAACACAACCGACTACAGAAACCAGCAGCAAACGTCAGCGAACACCTGATAAAACATTTAGCAACAACAATCGACAGCGGTTCTGGCAGTCGAACCTTACACGCCAGAAAAGTTGTAACCGGACCACAGCAACAGTAATCCACCAGCAGGCAGGAATCAACAACGTCCGGGCGCATCTCTATTCAGATGTAGATCAGTCCCAGTGATGCCACTGTCCACAGCACATCCCGACAGCGCATCCCGCTGGATCACGACCCACTTTCCCAGTCTGCCGCCGGGTCCATCAAAACACGCTTTGTCGTCATCCCAAGCGGCGAGGTACCGGGCGTGGCGGTAGCGCCGGGACGCTAACAAGCGGCGCGTGCGGCGGGCCTCACAGCCGGAGGGGAGGGGTGTGGGTCGCTGGTGACTGTGATCTGCTGGGGCTGTGTCCCTAGCTCAGTCTCACAGATCACGTGTGGTTTATGAGTGGCTGCTGGTAGGGTTATACTTACGAACATGAATTTGTGAGGATGTAGAAGGATAGAATGGATTAAAAAGGGCAGCTTAGAAAGGGATGAAAACAGGGAACAACAAAGCAAACGAAGTGAGCAGTATCGACATCCAACAAGCACATGCCATGGATGCAAATGTGAACAAAAACCCATGTCAAACTCTCCCACACGCAAAGGTCACATTATATAAATGTCATAAAGGACTTGGCAAGAGCGCATTGAGCAAGAGGCGACCATTCGCGGAACCGGCGCACTTTTCGCTGCGCTGCCCGGAGAGTGGTGGCCTTGATCCGTTCGCCATGTGCGGCAGCGGTTTTTACGCCAAACAATGGCAATACCGCTGAAAACGAGCGCGACCTTGACGACACTCTGCAGCTTATTATAGCGACCCGCCGGCATTGTCCGTGCAAGATTAAAACAGGTCAGCTCGGCGCCACCGCGAAGGTTTAGCAGCACAGGATAAAAACAAAAGGAAATATAGACAAACACGTGTCAGTCAAATATCGAATCGCACGCGTGCCTTTTGGGCATACAAAAACAGCTTACAGCACACAGCATCAATACTTGTTAGCATACATAGACACAGACTAAAAAACATATCGCCTAACGCGTGGCCACAATTCCAAACACATTCCCACCGAGATAGGGCACACGCTACTCTTTCAACGAGCACCGGGCAGCTCATTGCGTAAATCACGGCCCAATGCGAACCGTGATAGAACATAAGTGGCTAATTACACGGCACTCCGACATCACGCAACACGGCAGCTCACGCGTCGCACTTTCACACTCCCGTCCGACACCGTATCGCGAGCCGGTGTTTGGATTTACCGCAGCAGCGGTCGCTACCACAATCTCCAGCGGGTTCGGTACACGGCCTTGCACGCAACGATGGCCTGAAAGGTGAGAGACTACTAACCAGGAACGAGAAAAACGAGTAGGCGGGAACAATACCGACGGCCTGGGATGAGAACGTTTTTAATGTCTCACGACAGACGCCACCGACTCATGCTGGTTTGCCTGAGAAAACGCCACCCTCCATCTGAAGAAAAGCAATAGATTATATTTTGCTGGCATTATTCCCTGCCGTAAGACTAGCTGCCGGCCACTAAGCACGACCTTGCTGAGTCAATAACCAACCAACTCCAGCTAATGGCCGTCAACGCGCGGAGAGAGGGCAGCATCCAGAGAGAGGTGGAGAGAGAGGGAGAGGGAGAGGGAGAGGGAGAGGGAGAGGGAGAGGGAGAGGGAGAGGGAGAGGGAGAGGGAGAGGGAGAGGGAGAGAGAGAGAGAGAGAGAGAGAGAGAGAGAGAGAGAGAGAGGGCGAGAGAGAGGGAGAGTGAGAGAGGAAAGAGACACGATGCAGTGCGGAGTCGACACGCCGGCACCAGTGAAGACAGCTGATAGAGTGGCGGAAGCGGGCGGACGACTCCCTTCCTTCTCTTCCAGGCGCCCTACGGCCCCAAAACATCCCGTCTGGACCATTCCTGAGCCATGTAACTGCCCAGTGCCCAGCCGTGCCGTCGAAAATGGCAGGGAGGCGGCGCTGACGGACCGGCCGACCGACAGGTGACTCACGCTGACCAGAGACACGTCACCGATCGAACGGCAGGCGTTCGGTGCGTCAGAAGATCCGGCTTCGACGGACGGCAACCGGCCGGACGGGCGGCTGACGGGCGGCTGTCAGCAGAGGACCGGATGACGGCCGGCCTGTCAGTCGACCGTCACCGACAGACGGTCAGACCGACACGGTAAATACAGTTGACCTGCCGGACTGGCCATCACCCACCCACAGTCAGTGGTCAGTCCGACAGTCGGACACTCAGCTCTGACTGCTTGGGTAGAGAGGCACCCAAAATACCAGTCAGCCCAGCATAGCCAGAGTTGAATAACAGCCAGTTCCGACCATCTGCCCTTACAGCTGGTAGCTTCGTGTTGTCCCCAGCTATCACTACCTGCATATAGGGAGTCCGCTGTCGCCATCCCCGTCCTCAGGAATCATTCACCCCGGTCGCTTACACCTGCCTTCCCCGAATTTTCAAGGTCCCTGGTGCCACCAGGCACCCCGCCTCGTCTCATCGCTGATCGACAACCGGTAGGTACGGGTGGGACGCAGCATAAAAAGCTGCCAATCAACTTCCAAACAGTTGGAGGCACACGGCTAAAAACAACAAACGGAGGACAATGTAACGCGGGAAGATCACAAAGAACCAAGGCGCCCCGCTGCCTTTTGCAGCGTGCCGCCTTTCCACTCAACGAAAATGCGAGCAAGACCTCTAAAAGGCTTCTCATTCCAACTGTCTGTTGTTCGACTAGGATGCACCGCGGTTCAGCTCGACCCAATTGACGACATATATCTGAAGATTGACAAAGACTGGCAGTCGAGACAGACGGTGCACCGCAGAAGCACAGGAGGTTAGCTATGAAGGTGCCGCGACAGGCAATCGGCAATATTTTTTTTTTTTTTTTGGCAGATTCTCAGACTGATTACCGAGGAAAAAGACAAGACAGACACTGAAACTGAGAAGCAATAGTCACAGGAAATGATTGGTAGGAGAGGACGACCAAACGATTTCATTCCAATGGAGACGCAACCAACATACCATTCAAAACGGACCTTTCCAGCAGAATCCCGCTGAGAACAGCACAGGCAGTCACTTGTGACTGTGTTGGGATAGGTCGTCACAAACGCAGCAGCCTAGCACGCAGTCTAGATCCCGCTCAGCACGCTGCGTCAGCTCCCTGGCGAGTGACCGCGCATACAGAAAGGAGCGCACACTGCGCAACGGAACACTGACTGAATTGGACCCTTCGGAGAGTCCTGGTCACGAGGGGAGAGTGCGTGCAGAGAAACAATGTCGAACTGACTGCATCCGCGCGCTGAACTGACGCCACCAGTACCCAGTTGTTAGCGGCCGTGACCAGTTAGTTTTGGAAGGCAGTGGCTAGTAGTTCGTATATGCACATTGGTCAAGCACCTGCACGACCCAACGGCAGAAGCCGGATGTGTGAAAGTGTGAATATGTTCCCGAGTTTGGTGAATTGTGTGAGCTTCAGCTCGAGTTATGAGAGTCACCGATTCTGTATTGTGAGTAAGATGTTGCTGCCTGGAAAAGGTATCGTAAGAGCACATCGGTTCAGCCCCGAGACGCCCTACTGTTAGGTTGATTATCGTTCGTTATCAGTCTGTGAATATGCAGTACCAACCTCCTACATGCATTGATCTGACTTAGCGTCGCTAACCGGCGCGTTTCGTGTGCTTACGGACCTGTGAGGGCGAGAAAGGGCCGCCGGAGACGTCTGGTGACTGGCAGCAGGCGCCGTTCGATGCCGGTGTTCGAGGCGCCGCGCTGGTCAGGCTGAAGGAGCGCGTGTAGGGCACACGACGGCTGGCCGAGGAGCGACCTCCGCCGCTGCCGGCCGACCCGGGCTGCCGGGACGCACACGGACGCGCGAGGTGGACGGACGCTCATCAGCCACACACTCACAGCGACAGACGCACGGACATTCGCACAGAACGACAGACACACAGACACCCACACACAGAGGGACGGACATCACACGGAGACACGCGGTGGACGGACGCCCATCAGCCACAGAGATGGAGAGAGAGAGAGAGAGAGAGAGAGAGAGAGAGAGAGAGAGAGAGAGAGAGAGAGAGAGAGAGAGAGAGAGAGAGAGAGAGAGAGAGAGAGAGAGAGAGAGAGAGAGAGAGAGAGAGAGAGAGAGAGACAGACACACAGACAGACACACGGACACACGAGGTGGACGGACACACAGCGGTAGACACACAGACAAACACACACTACACAGAGGGACGAACACCACACGGAAACACGTGGTGGGCCAGGACGGAAGCCCATCAGCCACACACAGCTAGCGACAAACACAAAGAGTCACGGACAGTGCTGTCTAACACACAGACAGGACTGCACAACTGTCCACTGCCCTGTGGACAGGCGCCCCTCAAGCATCAGTCACAAAGACAGAGAGACGGACACACGGTCACACGCAGCCACACACACACACATGGGCACAGACTGAGTGACTGACACGGATTGCGGCGACAGCGGCGCCGTCGGGGTGGTAGGATGACAATTAAATGCTTAGAATGAAAACGAGGCTACTGATCTAGATGTCCAATGAAAAGCAAGTAAAAAATAACCGTTTCGTAAAGATGAGTTGTAATTTTTTCAACAACACTTGAATGGTTCACTTTTTGAACGATGCTTAAAAAATAAAGAAGTCACGCATGCAAAAAAAAAAACTTAACATAATTACTCTTATTATAACGAGCACTTAACAAAGCTCTGAGAATATTTATCAAGATTCAAGAGACATAACTTTTCGAGTGTCGAATAGCTCGACACTCAACCAAAATTGCTAAGCAATCAGCAGTGTACCATATTGCCCTCGAAAGCACTCACTCGATAGAGCGCATTATTCTTCCAAGATAAGCGCCCAACTTCACAACAAGTAGCGCCGATAATTCCAAGAATAATCTGGCTTAGTCCTCATAAAATGTGGCTTAGTTAGAGAGCCCCTACTCCACCTATCGACCGTGCATTGAGCAGAGCCACTCGGACCCTGCGGGTAAATCTGGGCTGATCCCAATAACCTGAGTCGCCACCATCGCCGCCCTCGTCTCTGACGAACGTAAGCGGGTGTCGGACAGGGCAGTATGATACTCCGGGCAGGACAGCATGACACACCAGACAGGACAACTCAGCACTCCAGACAGGATAACATGGCACGCCAGACAGGACAACTCAACAGCCCCAGACAGGATAACATGGCACGCCAGACAGGACAACTTAACACTCAAGACAGGATAACATGACACACCAGACAGGACAACTCAACACTCCAGACAGGATAACATGACACGCCAGACAGGACAACCTAACACTCCAGACAGGATAACATGACACACCAGACAGGACAGCACTGCATACCAGACACAGGACAGCATTGCATACCAGCCAAGACAGGGATAGGTGGAGTGACAACAGCCAAGACTCTTCCCGGGGATAGGGTGTCAGACAAGCACACAGACACACAAAGAAACTCAAGCAAAGAAGATAAGAACATGACAAAAATGAAACCAAAACGTAAAATGTAAAAGTTTGCCGATAAAGTAATGTAAGAAAAGTTAAAAATGAGACTAGTCAAAACTCGGACTTGTGCAAAAAGGCCAATAAACTGAAGAACAAAATAAAGTGCTTAGAACCGTATAAAACATTACACTCCCAAAGCGAAAAAAATGAATCGAATGCACACACTACTCAGGCAGCACAGGTGCTAGAGTACATATCCGTAGTTGCGGCGCCCGCCACGGGCGGCGCTGGCCCGGCGAGCGGCGGTGACCCGACCGCTCGCCGGGTCAGTCTGGGCGCGTGCTTGAGAGCAGATCCACACAAACGCACACCGCAGCCACTCAAAAGGCCGACCCCACTAACACACCGCAACTAAGAAACAAAGGGACCCCTGTACAACGGTGTATACGGGGCAAACATGCTGTCTACGAGGGAAGCACTATGTGACTAGGGAAGCCGGTGTCCAATATCCAAACACTTCTACAGTCACTCAACGCATGCGTTCCCGAGAGTCCGGCTGGCCATAGTCAGATCAATGGTGACATGCAACTAACAGACCATGTTGTTCCCCGCATGCCTAGTTGGAAAACGATTCAATGGTATGGATACATGCAGCGCTACTGTTACAACGATACAGGAAAAGACGGCCGAAGGGGAGATGCATCAATAGCTGGTGTCAGTGTTCAATTTTTGCAGATACATCTCCAAGACGGGTTACTGTAGCGCCGCGGCCATACCTATTGGTGTGATGGGCAAGGGATGGGATGTCAGGTAGGGAACGGTACATGGCAAGAAGGAAAGAAGGCATTGTCGTAAAAGAGTTCGAAAAAGGAAATCCTAAGTGTGCATAAGGAATTCTGATTAGCTGTTGTGATTAGCGTGCATTGCCCATGTTTCAGGCGGCACCATGTTATGTACTGAGGGTGTATATTATTGTTTGTGTCGTGGCACCATCCATCAGGGCGGAGTGCGATGCGGAGGCTGCGCCGTTGGTTTCATGTCGGCCTTTGACCGTCAACAGAGCGACCCAGGGCGAAACGCCGACCGTCCTCATTGCCCTATGATTCGGTTATTTTTGTGAGAAGTGTGCACACTGAGTGGCTCCGCGCAGCTCAGAAAGCTTTCAGCTCTTTAGGCTCCAGCAGCCCCGACACAGCTCAGAAAGCTCTCAGCTCTCTCGGCTGCACCAGTCTGCCGTCTGCTATGTCCCCGATCGGGGTCTAACGGCGATCCGTCCGATCACTACCCCACCAAGGCCACCGCCCGCCACCTCCCGGCGCGCTACCGTCTGTACACCGCGCGCTACCGTCACCAAAAGCACCCGCTCACCGGCCGCCGCGGCACCGTGCGACCTACAGCAGCGAGCGGCCCACGTCTACAGGATTGAGGAGCGATACCATCCGGTCAGCGGCTGCAGCGGACCGCCAACCGAGCCGCTACACACCAAACCGACACAGCGGGTAAGCCAGGCCCGCGGCGGAGGGATGAGAGCCGAGCGGACCGACCAACACCAAGCTCTGCACACCGATGGATAGCTAAACTACAGCGGCAGCGATACATCCTACACATCTACTGGAACACAGCGACGGCCATCGACTAGATCATGGCCTCATGCACACCCATGGAAAGAATCAACACAGCTGGCCTGACAACGGTCAGGATACAGGCCTCAACAACAGCAAACCGTGATCGCAAACTCAAAAACCCCACACGCACGGGCCGACTAAGAATTATGAAACTTGATATCATCTACTCAACGGGTTGGAACGAGCTATCTGATAACAACACGAAACAAATTTTAATTTGATACGCCTCTTCTTTGTGATCGGAAATCCCAACGACAAGATCAAATGCATTTATAATTAACTTTCAAACTTCTACGTTATTCCTAAAAAAATCAGACACCAAAGCATCCCCACACCTCTCCAGCCCTGTCCGCAGCCCGCGGTCGGAGCGGAGATCATACCTCATGGTCGAATCTGTCCCAGTCGCCGGCCGCCGTCGCAGAGGCCACATCACACGTGCTTCCTCCATAGGGCGGCGGCGGTGTGCCGGGTGGGGTGAACAGCGGACTATCGGCGTCCCCGGCCACGTGGTGTGATGACCGGGCGTGCCGACCCGAGCCCAGGTCACCCATAGACTCGGCCGCGCTCAGCCGCCGCGGACCTGTGAGGCAGAGAGGGAGGGACACAGTCAGATACGGACGAGGTTGTACAGGGTTGGGCAGATAAATTGGGACAAATTTCAACTTCCTCTAAAACGACTTTTTTTTTGAGTGATAAAGATAATTTTTAAACATAAATATAGGCTAATGAATATTTTTCCATGTTATGCAGGTTGCGTTGTAATTGTGAGTCGGCTGGTCACAGAACGTGGGCTTAGGCAAGCCACTATCAACTTAGTCCGCGCGCACATGCATGCCAATATTCTAATTATGCTCCATCAAATGGCTGAAAGTAGTGTGTATCGAACAGACGTAAACGTTGGAGGAAGAGATGCTATTGACTCATCCTTACATACCTATTGCATTGACACCGGCCGCTCCCCCGGTTTTCCAGGGGGGCTAAAGGGTAAAATTCAGTTAAATCAGAGGATCCTCGCGAAAACAGTGGCGCGAGCTTACAACGAAGGTAGCCGCGCCTTGAGAAAGCGATATACCAGCACCTCAAACATGTACTCTTATGCACTGATGCATATCAACCTGTTAACATAGATGTTGAAGCAGCTGTGACGTTAAAAAGATTGTTTCCTACATTTTGCTCGTGATGTTTTGTATAAACGACTGTTTTGTATGTAAATGTGACCAGTGATTTTGTACTGAGTTGCATGAATACATGTTTGAAAAAAAAAACATTGTTTCCTCTTGAAGGGCTTGGAGAAGCGAGCAAGCACGTGCAGGTCATTACTCATTTCTGACGATGGTATCCCCATAACCGAACATATGAACAACCGCAAACACCATGTAACATCGCAACCAGCCCAGAAGACGTGATCTTAGTTCCAAAAAACATGCAGCAGACATCGGTGATGGCATTCCACTCGGTGACTTCTGACGGTCACGTGGGGCCCCCTTATTTTACGGAATCGGGAGGGGGTTCGCCATTACAGGGTACCTAACCATTATTCCGGCAGTTCGAACCAACAAGATGGAAGAAGGCAACATCCTGCATGGGGTGATGCTCTTCGAGGAGTCAGCTCCCCGGCATGCAGTAAATTAAATACAAAATCTCCTGAAACCGAGGATCCCGCAAACTGTACTCAAGGGAAAATGCCCCCTTCCTCATTAAACCTCAGCCCACACAAGTTCTGGTTGCTGGGGCGTTTTTGCGGGTGAGTCTAACGAACGTCCCCATGTGACTGTGGCGAGCCTCAGCAGTGCCAGTCGGCTACAATCACGAGCCATTTCAGACGGGAGATCTCGCCGCGCGTGCAGTCAGTCCAGGCACCGACAAGGACTGATGCAGGTGGACCACGGTGACCATATTTGGTGATACAGGTGTAAAATTGGTGTGACAATATGTGATCCAAATTTGAAATGACTATGTTTACAAATTTCTAAGCTACGGCGTTTTAAATGCAAATACGTATTTTGTCCCAATTTATCTGCCCAACCCTGTAGAGGACACAAACATTGCACAATGCTCACTGCCCACACACTCGTCACTCAGGGATGAAGGGTTGGGTATGCGCTAAGGCGATGCGGGTCAACCGGTGGGATACGAATACGACTTGCCGGTTGCATACAAAACGCAAAAGGTCTGGAGAATGAAGAATACCAACAAGACTTGAAGAGCTAGAAATAACTGCCCGCGACAGTCGGGAACTGCGACAGTGTGTCTAACGCATCGGCCTGACATCGAACGGGTCATCCTGACATCACGCCAATCTGTCCGACATCATTCAGTCGCCAGGTTTGTTTCCATTGCGAAGTGATCATGCCCTGATCGATGGAAGTTGTCACGGGGAGTGGCCCAGTTCCCGCTGTCCAATGTATACGGTACACTGTGTACAGGACAGTCCACACCACGGGCGTAGGAACGTCATGAAAAGTGGGTGGGCCACCCTGTCAAGGGGCCTCCTTTTCCAGGGGCCTCCTATTTTCAGGGGCCTCCAACTTTTGCCTCGTCCTGCTGGCTGCTTTCAAGTATGACATCCAAATCTAGCTTCTCAGATCGGGCAGATGTACCCAGGGGCGTAACCGCTTAAGCGAACAGTGCGGAAAGTCCGCACCATTTTTAAAACTTATTCCCCCTCCGATTTTTTTTTTAGAATCTATTTGCCGCAAACGGCGCATGACCCCTGAAAACCCTTACACAAATGTCTTCCTCGTTTCCCAAGTGCCCCCATTAGCTTCATAGGCGCCCTCTTTGGCATATAAGCGCCCTATGTATAGTCATCAGAGACATCCCTATATGTGCCACAGTCTCCCCGTTGTCGCATACAATGTGCGCTTATCATAGGCGTCTCTCTTTTATGGACACTTGAAGGCGCCTCTCTTTGCCATGCCGGCGCCCCTGTTTCTTATGAATGCACCCCCATGGCATTGATCAATTGCAGTCTGCAGACCTCTATTGCATGTGGACGCCCATATATGTAGGCCTCAGAGGCGCCCCTCTTTCGCATTGAGGCGCCCCTATGGGCTTCATAGGCGCCCCTCTATTGCACGTAGGTGCCCTACTGTCTCAGAACCGCTCCCCTTTGGCATGCAGACGCCCATCTTTCGTACGGAGGAGCCGCTGTGGTTCTTAAAGACGGCATGGTGCTCCCAGACGCAGATGGGGCTCTCGGAGTCGACAGTGTGGGACCTTCAGTCGCTGATGGGTGCCCGCCGGATGTGGACCCTTGGAGACGCCGGTATGGGCACTGGCGGATCCAGGGGGGGCCACGGGGGCCATGGCCCCCCCAAAGGCCTAAAGTGGCCGGTTTGGCCCCCCCCCCAAAACGTCCGAAAAAATGCTAAGAAAATATACCTTGATGGAGGTTTTTAGCCACTTGGTGAAGTAAAGCTTTCCACAGCATAATATGGAAGCAATATGGTAGCAGTGAGGGTCAGTCAAAAGTTGCGCGAGAGGAGTCGACCTTAAAAAAAGACTGTTGTTGGCACGTGTTTATGGCGCGGCAGCTGGTAGTTGGCGGTGTTTCGCGTGGTGTGGCATCACTGGCCGATCCAGGGGGGGGGGGGGCACGGGAGCCTGAGGTGCCCCTGACAGGTCCATGGTGCCCTTGCTAGGCCCGTGGTGCCCCTGGACCCTGGCAGGCCTGTGGTGGCTCTGGCGGGCCTAGGGTGCCCCTGCTAGGCTGCTGATGCCCCTGGGACCTGACAGGACTGCGGTGCCCCTGACAAGCCTAAAGCGCCCCCAACAGGCCCGTGATGTCCCCGACAGGCCCAAGGTGCCCCTGCGTGATGCCGTGATGCCTGCGAGGCCGGCAGGGCCCCTGACAGGACCATGGTGCCCCTGCGAGGCCGGTGGTGCCCCTGGCAGGTCTCTGGTGTCCCTGACAGACCTGGGGTGCCCCTGACAAGCCTGTGGGCCCCTCACAGGCCCGTGGTGCCCTTGCTAGGCCTGTGGTGCCCCTGGCGGGCTGGTGGTGCCCCTGCTAGGCCGGTGGTGCCCCTGACAGGCACCACTCGGGCACCAAGGGGGGTCATGACCCATGTGGCCCCCCTTGGATCTGCCACTGATACATAATATATTGATTTGTAAAGGCTAGACCGGTGGTGCCCCTGGCAGGCCTGTGGTGCCCCTACTAGGCCCCTGGTGCCCCTGGGCCCTGACAGGACTGTGGTGCCCCTGCTAGGCCTCTGGTGCCCCTGCAAGGCCGGTGGTGCCCCTGTAAGGCCTGTGGTACCCCTGCTAGGCCTCTGGTGCCCCTAACAGGCCCATGGTGCCCCTGCGAGGCCGGTGGTGCCCCTGGCAGGTCTCTGGTGTCCCTGACAGACCTAGGGTGTCCCTGACAAGCCTGTGGGACCCGTCACAGGCCCGTGGTGCCCTTGCTAGGCCTGTGGTGCCCCTGGCGGGCTGGTGGTGCTCCTGCTAGGCCGGTGGTGCCCCTGCTTGGCCGGTGGTGCCCCCGGGCACCAAGGGGGGTCATGACCCATGTGGCCCCCCTTGTATCTGCCACTGATACATAATATATTGATTTGTAAAGGCGTTATGGCTTATGCAATATGCAATTGCAGGCACTTGGTATCCCTCACTTATCCCTCATTGGGGGCTCTGGCGGGCTCCTGAGGACCCACGTCTATCTCCATTCTCCGGGAGCCCTAGACGGGCTCCTTTGGGTCCTTTCAGTCCAATACAGCATAAGAGGTCTCCACGCAAGTCCTATACATCTGAGGGCGTACCCTGACGTCTGAGGTACCCAACTGCAGCTCCAATGGTGTCTTACACTGGCGGATCCAGGGAGGGGGCATTTAGGGCCATGCCCCTTTCCCAGAGGCCTAAAGTGGCCCGTTTGCCCCTCCCCCAAACGATAATGAAACATAGTTCAATCAGTGCGTGGCCCAGGAGCCGAGTTAGACTGGGGGTGTTTTACCACCTCCCGGCCCGCAAAGGGACCCAAGAACTGACTCGAAGCGGGTTAACTGGTCGACAAAAGCAATGGTAAGTGTTCACAAAGTAATATAAAGGCATGGGTCGGGTGGACTACCATTTATATATTTTTCTTTTTAGTTAAAAAAAATTAATAGTGTCAGAGCTGTGACGAAAAATAAGTGGCCTAAATCCGATGAGAAAACAGGATTTGAGGGTACCCTAGGTTTGGCTCCGCATGAGTTGGCCCCCCCAAAACGCAAGCCTGGATCCGCCAGTGGGTATGGGGCCCTCAGAGATGCCGGTATGTGGCCCTTAGAGACACCGGTGTGGAACCCTCAGATACTTCAGTGTGAAGCCCTTACAATTACTGGTGTAGAGCTATGAATGTGCTGGCTTAAATCCCTCAGAGGCCGGTACATGGACATTAGAGCTCAGTGAGAGCTTGTGTGGTGCCTTCAGTGGCCTTGTGGAGCCGTTAGACATCAACATGGTGCTCTCAGGAGCCGGTGAGTCCTCAGAGTCACCGGTGTGGGGCCTTCAGAGCTCCGAGATACTGGTGTGGGGCCCTCAGAGGTGTCGGTGTGGGTCCTTCAGATGTACCTATAGAGCCTTGAGATGCACAGGTGTGGT